TATTGAACCCTGAGGAACCCCACAAGACAAAGGTTGTGGGGTTGAACAGGTGTCTCCCAGTAACACCTTCTGCGACCGGCCCTCCAGGAATGACTGGAGCCACTGCAAAACAGTACCTCCAAGACCCATCCCCGCGAGGCGTCTCAGAAGGATACCGTGGTCGACGGTATCGAAGGCCGCTGAGAGATCCAGCAGCACCAACAGGGACACACTCCCCCTGTCGAGCTCCCGGCGCAGATCATCCACTAAGGCGACCAAGGCTGTCTCGGTACCATGCCCCGGCCTAAAGCCAGACTGTGCCGGATCCAGATAATATTCAGACTAAACATTCCAAACTCGTGGAGTTGTCTTGTCCTTTTTATAAATGTAGCTACAATTTTAGCTACTTTCCAGTTACATAATAAAAAGAAAGTTTTTTTTATTTAAGAGGTGGTAGTTTTGGCCAACACACAGATTCCTTAAGCGTTTTGTCTATAGGTATCCTGCTGTCATGATGTTATGCAGTAAATTTTCTTCCTTATAAAATTTAAAGTAGAATTTCATTTGGTATTTATGACATTAATTTCTGGAGGATATGATTCAGTTAGTAAAATATGTATGTATGTATTGATTGTATAGTTATCTGCTTTAATATTAAATATCATGTCAACTGTACTATCTGTTTTAGATTTTGTTAATAAAAATACTCAAAACCTACTGATTTTACATCCCATTTTAGCTGTTTTTAAATTCTCAGATACATAGGCAAAGGAATAAAATCTCCGTTCAAACTATTTGAAGCTGCACAGACAAAACAAAATTGCTAGTTTCCCTTGGTTCATACGGGTGCAAAGCTTTTTTTTTTCAAGATACCAAGGAATCAAGCTCTGTCAAAAATTGTAGGTCTTGTCATAAAAAGAGTCACCTGTTTATGAAGAAGAATCACAAACAGCAGTGCGCAAGCAGTAAAACACAGAACTGTTTAGTCCAGCCATGGGCAAATTTGGGCCCTCCAGGTGTTTTGGACTTCAACTTCCACAATTCTTAACAGCCAAAACACCTGGAGGGCCCAAGTTTGCCCATGCCTAGAATTGTGGGAGTTGAAGTCCAAAATACCTGGAGGGCCCAAGTTTGCCCATGTCTGGTTTAGTCAGATGTTCTTGGCATCCCCATGGACAACAAGTTAAACATTGGTCAACAATATGATGTGGCAGCTAAAAAAGCCAATGGGATTTTGGCCTGCATAAGTAGTAGAGTAGTGCCTAGATCCAGGGAAGTCATGCTACCCCTCTATTCTGCCTTGGTCAGACCACACCTGGTTTACTGTGTTCAATTCTGGGCACCGCAATTGAAGAGAGATGTTGACAAGCTGGAATGTGTCCAGAGAAGGGCAACTAAAATGATCAAGGGTCTGAAGAACAAGGCCTATGAGGAACGGCTTAAAGAGCTGGGCATGCTTCGCCTGCAGAAGAGAAGGCTGAGAGGGCACATGATGAGGGCCATGTATAGATATGTGAGGGGAAGTTATAGGGAGGAGGGAGCAAGCTTGTTTTCGCTGCCCTGGAGACTAGGATGCGGAGCAATGGCTTCAAACTACAAGAAAGGAGATTCGACCTGAACATTAGGGGAAGAACTTCCTAACTGTGAGAGATGTTCAGCAGTGGAACTCTCTGCCTTAGAGTGTGATAGAGGCTCCTTCTTTGGAGGCTTTAAAGCAGAGGCTGGTCATCTATTGGGGGTGTTTTGAATGCAGTTTTCCTGCTTCTTTGCAGGGGGTTGGACTAGATGGCCCACGAGGTCTCTTCCAATTCTATGATTCTATGATTCTTATTCTCTACTTTGTTAGGGTGTAAGTATCAAAGATTATTTTCTCATTTCATTAGTCCTTTGTGTCCAAGTCCAAGATGACAGTGACTACACTATCTCTAGGTCACCCTTGTCTTCAGACTTCTCTACCAGGGCAGCCAGCCTTACTCTAAACTTTGAATATTTTGGTAGGAAAATCATCATTCTTTCAGGCATCTGGACTGATCAGGGCTGAATGTGGATTGTATCATATAGTGGAGCTGTGCAATCACAAGGGCACTCTTCAACATTTCAATTCAGGCTTCCACAATAGCTTTAAGACAAATAAGATTGCTAAGTTTGTAAGTATTGTTCCCCAGTTAATGAGTTTGTAACAGTACAATGCTGTAAAAGATAATCGTGACTCTTAGAAGAAGAAGAAAACCAATGGACAAAGTTCTCAAGAATATCTAATGCCTGTTGGTTTTACTTTGTTGTACATGACTTACACACCCTTGAATATTTTGTGGAGTAGTCTTCTTGCTTAATCTTAAGTTTTGCCCATTCTCATCAGACTGTGGACATATTTCTCTATGCCACTGCATTATTTAGTCTACTTAGTCTACTTTGAATGTTTGAAATGGTGATTGAAATTGTTAACTGGAAATCCAGAAACCACATGTCATGAGAGACACAAGCTTTCAAAACAACTTATATTTCAGTTCTCCTTTTACATTCTGCTTAAGTTGTGTGTTTGTCTTCTCTATTCTTTTGATCGGTTAGACATTCTTGTTTGTGTTAAGTGAACTTTTGCACTGGTGTCTCACTGTCAGACTTCAACTGAAAGTAGGAAATAGGTGGGTGTGAGTGATTAAGCATAACCTAAACATTGACTGTATTGCTTTGTTATTTCAGACTTCCTTTTCACCCCCGTCATAGTTCTAGATCTGGAACAGTAGGCTGCTCAGTTAGACAGCTGTTTAGAAGATAAATGTGTGATTTCTTGATTTATTTATGGGTTTGAACAATCCATTTTAGATTTAGTTATAACACTTAGTGGGGTTTAACCTTACAAAGAGGAAGACATCATTTTGGTTTCTGAAGGATAGCTGCTATGAACAGTTTTATGGAGTTGTGTTTATGTCCATAAAATACTTCTCAAGTTACCACTGCCTCCAGTTTGAATTAATACATGCAGTGATTTGCCTTCACACACAATATGTGAATAAATGGCTGAGATGTTGCTTAATTTATTCTCTTCAACTGTGAATTCTGTTAAAGCTAAATGCAAACCAAACCTCTAGAGACAGTTTAGCCTAAGGGATGTTGTCATATTTTATCTGATGGCACCAGAACGCCCCAAGCTGGAGGAAATATCAAGCATAGATTTCTCTCCCCTCTTCCTGGTTAATTGAGGCATTTATCTGTGGTTGAGACAGAGCATGACCACTTCCAATGCTGGCCCTCTTTGGAGAATGCCATTTGATCCAGTAGGAAGAGAATTTCTGTTTGCTGACCAATTAAATATGTACAGATAACATCTCCAGAAGATGGTGTGGGGGAATGTCACTGAAAATTAATCTATATACACATTACATATTATGTGTATACTGAGAGAATCACAAGAGTGTTGCATGCTAAAGCTTCAACATCTATTGGCAGTCGAGGGCAAGTTACATAGAAGTAGCAGCTTGAATCTGGCATAGAGAACAGAATTTAAGATCAAAGTCAGGTGAAATCTGAATAACTTTCTGTACATATGACCTGGATTGTGTTATTTTAATTGTTGTTTTAATGTTATGTTTGAATTGGTTGGGTTTAATGTTTTAGTTTATTCATTGATGTATGTATACATTGCGGCATTGAATTGCCATTGTAAGGCTGCCTTGAGTCCCCTTTGAGGTTGAGAAAGGTGGGATACAAGTATAGTAAATAAACAAATAAATAAATACAGGATGTAAAACATGAAACCTATCTGATACAGTATTTTGATGGTTTCTGACTTGGAAGTGGGATCTTTTTGCTAGCAATTAACCCATCCCCATCTTGCAGCTTAACTTCCTTTACACTGCAGTGGTTCCCAACCTGTGGTTCATGAACCATCAGTGCTCCGCAAGAACAAAAATATGGTCCACGATCTCACCATTACTACTCTGTTACCTCAAACCATGCGGCAAGGAAAGCAACTGGTCTCACGAAACCCTCTTATAGTGCCGAGGAAACTGGGATGTAGGGAGGGGAGTGGCTGACTACCCACGAAAGATTACTATTACCACATCAGCTCTAGATTATTAAATATGGTTTTCTGTGGGCGAGCAGATGGCAACTACTGGATGGCACATGTTCTGTATCAGAAACTAGAGCTGATGTGGTCTATCCAATACAATTTTTGAATTAGCACCCCAAATAAATAAACAGAATCTGAAGTTGACCAAAAACTGATTCGTAACCCTTTTGGTACTAATGTTGGAGATTGGTTCCTGGTCAGAGTGGTGCCTGGTCAAAAAAAGTTTGGAAACCACTGCTTTACAGGTAAAAATTATGTACTCAGTGTGCACTCTTTTGAGTTCTTTGCAGGAAGATAGAGAGATAAATGTAATACATGTGTAGTTTTACAGTTCAGATGTAACATCTTAGCTTTAAAACACATGGTCCAGAAAAACCAAGCTCTATTTCGCCTCATGAACTTTTTTTCTCTTGTAAAGCCCTTGTAGGCAAAATTAGAACACACACACACACTATATTGATCAAACAAAATAGATGTTCTGCTGTTCTGCTATTATTGGGATGGTGGTTTTGATCATAAGGTCCCAGGGCCCCTCATCAAAAACAGCCTTAGAATCCCAGAAATAAAACAATAAACACATCCAGCTACTTGAGTCTGATTAAAAATTTGGATTTGAAATGTTTGAAATGTTGTAGGTATTATTGGATCTTCTCTCAGTTGGATCATAGATCGAGAAATATATCCTTTCTGGTAACAAAATACCAATCTTTTATCAGTCATTTAGTAATTTCCAAGAAGCAGGTCAGCAATGAAAAAGAACACTCATGATCCTAGATATCAAGGAACTTTCCAAAATGAAATGTGATTGCTCTCTCCATTGTAGCTACTGTGGGCTTTTTTTTTCTTGATCTGGCAGAGAAATTGCCGATTTTAGTATATTTGATCTGATAAAACCTATGTTAATCTCAGTAGACCTTAATAATTATTTTATTTGTTGTTTTGTCTCTAGGAGAGGGCTGCTTACAATTTATATGGCTAATTTGGTAAGTAATACTATTATGTATATATATAAAAACATAGAAACACTGTCGAGAGTTTTTTTAATCTCTAAGTATCATTTCTACTAATGTAAACCTTATCCTGCCTTAGCTAATACCTAGAATTTACTAGTGAATTCAGCCATGCTGAAGTGTGTTAGGAATGAATTCAAGTGAAAATCTGTTTTAATATTATACACAAATGAATACATTTTGCTTCCCCCCAACAGTTTCCTTGCAAGTCAAAATATCTGTGCAGTTATATGTCAACTGGGTTTTTTGTCTGAATAGAATGTTTGGTGTTACTTTGAAAAACTTGTATTTTGAAAATATTTGAAAATAAATATAATTTTAAATCAACAAGTCTCATAACCTGTATTCTTGGATGTTCACTCTTTGAAGTAATATTCTAGAGTGCAATCTTTGCCAAAGTATAATGCCTTTTGAATTGGATACCTGTGGAATTTTAGTGATTGCCTTGGATTCCTTTATCTCCTTCTCAAATCTGCGGCCTCCTAAAGCAAGTTAAGTTCTGTTTCTCCTCAAGATTATAGGTTTGTACTCAGTAGTCACGCACAGCTTTATGACTCAGCTGAATTTAGATTACTGGTGTGCATTGTTGATGGCTTGGTCAATTCCACCTATTTTGCAATGCTGGACAGACAACAAGAAGCAGGAGGCACACAGCTTCGGATGCTTGGAGTGCATTGCCTTTGCAGAAATAATGCATTTGGCATCATTTTAACTGCCATTACTCAATGCTAGAGAACCCTGGGGTTTGTAGTTGAGGCACTAGCACTCGTTAAAAGAGGAGACTAAAGATCTTGTAAAACTTCAACTCTTGTGATTCCATAGCATTGAGCCATGGCAGTTAAAATGGTATCAGGCTGCATGATTTCTGGTGTAGCTGCGCCCTTCTTTTCCCAAGCTGACTCAAGCCATAGAGTGGTATATCTTGCCTGGAGAGCTTCTGCTTGGGAAGCTGGAGAGAAATTACTATCTCCAAAACTTCAAATTCCATTGTTCCATGGATAGAGCCATGACATTTCAAGTGATAACAGACTGCTGCTATTACGTAGTATGAATACCTCCATAAATAATCTTGTACAGTTGGGTAAATGCCAGTTATGGAAAAGGTTGAGTTTAAAAGTTGGGTATATTCACAAGTGCAAGGGAGTTGAAGGCAGATCTCCATGTAGCAGTATTGAGGTTTATTTTTGACTTGCTAATTTAATAACACGGCAATTGATCCCAATGGAAGTTGGTGCAAAAAAGATGTTTGCAAAGTCATATTAGATTTCATGTATTTGAGAATGTGGGCTGCTGAATCTGAACCAGTTGCAATCAATGAATCAACATTTCTGTAATACCAGAGAACGTAGAGTGAAAGTAGCTGTTCCTGGAGGCTGCACAAACATGCACAAGATTTTCCAGATCTATTTTGGATTGCACATGTTGAAGGCAAGACATTTCTAAGATGGTAAAAGGGATGTATTGGTAACATATATGTATGTATAAGACGATCCCTCTAAAGATATATTGGGATCAAAGGGAACCCCAGGATTCCAGCTGGAGGGTGAAAGTGAAATGTGATCACTGCAGTTATTTCTGTCTAATAAGGTAGGAGAACGGCCTGTAAGTAGGTTTCTCGAAAGCAAAAGTCATATGCTTATTGGCAAAACTCTAAGTAGTAAAGTGTTTTAAAGAAAGGAAAAACTTCAAAATTATATAAAACACAGTCAGGCATGTAGCCAGGATTTTGATTTGGGGGGAGCTGAGTTTGATTCCGGGGGGGGGGGGGGGCTGATCTGAGTGAAAGAGGGTCTACCCTAGCAAACCTTTTGTATCATTACCCCAATACCCCCATGCATATGGGATATATTGAGCATGGTGATCAGATCATGATATGAATAAACATAACAGTTCAAATAATGTACCAGTAAGGCCTTCTTGCGGACCACCATGAGAATTTCGGGGGGGGGGGGCTGAAGCCCCTCAAGCCCCCGCCCCCCCCCCCCCCCCCCCCCCCCCCCCCCCGGCTACATGCCTGAACACAGTATACTTAAGTTGAAGGAAAATTAATGGAAAAGAGAAGAGGAATTCAGAAATTATCCCACTTCTGCTGCATTGGATGTGCTGGAGATATGGAAGTTGATCTTTTTGTTTCTTTCATTGATAAGTGCTTCCTAGCTGAAACTACAATTGCATTGTAACACAGCTACAATAACACATAAAAGAATGAAATGTAATTGAATATAGTAATAGAATTGAGGCAATAACTGAAAACAGTACTACTTTAATGTATTCGTGAAGGAATCACTGGGTTGTTGTAAGTTTTTTGGGGCTGTACGGCCATGTTCCAGAAGCATTCTCTCCTGACGTTTCACCTGTATCTATGGAAGGCACCCTCAGAGGTTGTGAGGACCTCACAACCTCTGAGGAGATAATGCTTCTGGAACATGGCCATACGGCCCGAAAAACTTACAACAACCCAATACTAGTTTTATTGTAAGTAATGAAAATATGTCTAGACTAGGTGAGATTAGGATTTGGCAGAACAAACGTGTCAATAAGGAGTTATTTTCACCATTCTAAAAATAGGAGAATGGTGGCTAGGTGGGCCTTTCCACAACAAGATTGCCATTGCTCAGAGTATCTTCTATCTAACCCACTAGACCTTTAACAAGGGCATAGTGGGAGCCTTCCAATGTGTTGCTCATCTTAGCCCTGAGCTGGCTGTGGTGCTGCAACAGTTTGTGTTGAAAGAGATAGTTGCATGCCCTTGGAGAGCTTAATTGAGGTGAGAGTTGGGAGGGATGTAGGGAAAGGCACAAATGAAAACATTTAGCTGTGGTTATGAATACATTTAGGTTTTTAAAACCACAAACCACATTTAGTTGTGGTTACATTTTGACTTCTGTTTTGCTATTGCTGTGGTCTCTTGCTTTTAGTTCTCCACCCAGAAGTCAAACCTGAGGCATTTCAAGGCTTTCTTCACCTTAAGGAAATAAAAAAAATATATAACACTTCAAAAGATAATATTAAAAGTAGATATTTCTAAACTTTCTCTTGAGTAGCCGGTAAAGTGACATTGTTCCATTGTAAGGGAAGGCATAGTAGCATCCTTTTTTGTTTTCTGTGACGGGGTTGGTGGAATCACGTAGCCCTCCACATGTGATTGGATTGCCTTATCTGGAATTCCTTATCACTGACTTTGGTGGTTGGGGCAACATCTGGAGCACACATAATTTTTAACCTTGTTCAAAGGCTTTAGCAGAGTTGCCAATCTTTTAGGGCTAATAGACATAATGTATTACAAACTGCCTTGGGTGATGTCACAAGGTGGCTGTTATAGGGAAGAATAGAGGAGGCATTTAGTAATAGAGGCAGAATAGAGGAGTAGCATGACTTCCCTGGATTTAGACACTAGACTCTTATTTATGCAGACCATAAAATACACATCCCTTTCTGGGTTTCTTTTTTTCCTTCTACGTGGGGTTGCCTTTGAAAACAGCCCGGAAACTTCAATTAGTCTAACGGGCGGCAGCCAGATTTCTAAATGGGGCGGCATACAGGGAGCATACTACTCCTCTGTTACAGCAGCTCCACTGGTTGCCAGTCTGCTACCGAGCCCAATTCAAAGTTCCGGTTTTGGCCTATAAAGTTCTATACAGTTGTGGTCCAACTTACCAAGCTAAACACATCTCCCTCTGTGAGCCTACAAGAGGTTTGAGATTGGCGGGGGAGGCCTGCGCTCTGTCCCAGCCTCTTCGCAAGTGCAATTGGTTGGAACGAGAGACGGCCTTTTCAGGGTTGGACGTTTAGCACAGTTGGTAAATCATCAGCAATTATAAGATTTATCAACTAAAAGGTTGCAAGTTCGAAGCCCCAGGTTGGCATGAGCGGCCAAATGTCAGCCCTAGCTCATTGTTTACCTAAGCCAGTGGTTCTCAACCTGGGATCCCCAGATGTTTTTGGACTTCAACTCCCAGAAATCCTGACAGCTGGTAAACTGACTGGGATTCCTGGGAGTTGTAGGCCAAAACACCTGGGGACCTACAGGTTGCGAACCACTGACCTAAGCAATTCAAAAACAGCTTTAGCTGTGATTAGAGAAATCAGGAACCACTAAAAAAGTGGGGGAGCTGTTTTACGATGCCATAAAGAAGGAAGTTCAGAGAATGCTGGGCAACCAAAAGGAAGGAGGAAGTCCTGACGGCTCTTCATCATAGAGGATGGAGCAACAGCACCCGTGGACTCAAGCCCAACCTTCCATGGCACCTCCTTCTATTCTGTGTATCTGTGTATTGTCTATACAAAGCGGCATTGAATGTTTGCCCTGTATGTGTGCTGTGATCCACCCTGAGTCCCCTTTGGGGTGACTATTATGTATTGTCGAAGGCTTTCATGGCTGGAATCACTGGATTGTTGTAGGTTTTTTCGGGCTATATGGCCATGTTCTAGAGGCATTCTCCTGATGTTTCGCCTGCATCTATGGCAAGCATCCTCAGAGGTAGTGAGGTCTGTTGGAACTAGGAAAATGGGTTTATATATCTGTGGAATGACCAGGGTGGGACAAAGAACACTTGTCTGTTGGAGCTAGGTGTGAATGTTTCAACTGACCACCTTGATTAGCATTTGATGGCCTGGCAGTTTTTTGGTGTGGCTTGTTAGTGCCTGGGTGTTGTTGTTGTTGTTGTTGTTGTTGTTGTTGTTGTTATTATTATTATTATTCAGTGGTGGCCCCTTGCCTGTGGAACTCCCTCCCCAGTGACATCAGGCAGGCCCCTTCCTTCCTGGTTTTTAGGAAAAAAACGTAAGGCCTGGCTCTTCTCGCAGGCATTTGGTGAATAGGAAACTACGGAATGAGACTTTAATATCTTGAATAACAGACTATGGATTTTGAAAAACAATTTGGACATGAGATTATGAGTCATCATTTTATATTGCTTTAATGTGTTTAATTGATTGATATGTGTTTCAGTTGCTTATGTGTTTAGATTGTT